AAAAATTAAAATGACATAAGGCAGGTTAATAGGAGAAAATAAAACAAAGTTTAATATGTGCTGTGGAATAAAATGAAATTAAAACAACTCCTGAGAACTAGATGGATTCTATGTGGCTAACCAGAACCTAAAATCAAAATTGAGTCAAGTGGCCATGATGGGACTGGGATGCAGTCACATACTCTGTTCTCAGGAAAACCACAGAATGCGTTCTTAAGCTTTGACGCTGCCAAAGTTCCTATTTTACAAAAGCCCCAAACAGCCCCCTGGGCCTAACCAATAAAACGGTGACCTGCGACAACCAATCATCACTAAGAGGCTTGCATCCCTCATTTGCATAAGCAGACCTGAGTGGGAAACTCGATGGCAAATTTTTTTTGAGACAGCCCTCTTCCTTTGTTCTCCTGGCGCATACTTTTGGTTTGCTGCCTAAGGCCACGTCTTCTGGGTTTGAAACTGTATGAGCAGTAAAGCTTTCCTACTAAATTCTTGTATTCCAGAGAGTTTTGTTGACACTGCCCATGGGGAATTCACATAAGCACGAAGCATTTAAAAGACAGTCAGGCAAAATGAAGTATATAAGTCTTTCTGAACCAAGAAGAAGGAGATAGAGGTCTGAGACTTCAAAGGGGGTGAAAGCAACTTACAGGAGGTGAAAAGAGTTAATATTTGGTAAACAAATGTTTGCCATGCCTTGTGAAGACAATGGGATCCAAGAGAGAACTTTGATCAAATAAGTCTTGCTGGTTTCTGCCTGTCTACCACACCTACTTCACATTATACTAGAGTTATTATGGTGATAGTTTCTTCCTGGGACAGGCCTTCTATCTTAAATTCTTTTAGGCAGTTTGGGGGAAGGTCAAAGGTTCTTCCTGCATCTTCTGAGCCTTGGTTGTTTTTAGCTCGAAATAATCTGCATAGCAGACTGGCTCATCTTGGGATGGTCTGCCCTGAACACCGCCAACAGTTTAAAATTGTTCTACATCTATAGTTGTTTCTATTTCACAGTAATATTTAGTTTTAAAGATAGATTCACTCAAATCTCTCCAAGGATATTATTTATACTTATTTTACAGTTGTCTTCTGTTTAGTCTATAATTTTCTTAGGTTTTTTCCTTCAGATGTTGAATTTGGGGATTCTTTTTAAAGTTGGTATCCTTAAATCATGAGATTTTGGTGGGCACCGTGCCTTGCACCTAGATTTCATAAGTAGAGCCTGAACAATAGCATATTGTTTCTATGTTAAGGACAGGAGACAGCCCCTTTAACTATTTTAATATACTCGCAAAAAAAAAAGTATGCTTACACTTACACATTTTAGATGAAAAAACAAGACATTTAAAACTGACCTGGAAATAGAGATCATTTTGATTAAACTTGTAGATTCCATATTCTTTTATGATAAATAGTAAGTAAATACTTTAAAAGTATTTCAATTATATTCACTAGTGACTAGGTAAATAATTGTACCTAAATAGTGATGATTAATTGACCTTTGTCAAGTTGAAGGAGGAAGCCTGTGGCATTTTACAGACATTATCCTTGGCCTAGTACCAGTCAACATTTTATTTAGTAATTTGGATGAAATTACAAAAGGCAACTTTGTCAAATTTGTGGGTGATAAGCTGGGAGATTCCATTTTTAGGCATCAAAACTATATTGAATGACTGGAACTAGGGTTGATTTTAGAAAAATTTATTTAAGAGACAACAGCAAAGTGTTCTGTATAGGCCTCAAACACTGTGAGTATAAAAATAGAGAAATAAGACAAAACAGCATAGATGTAAAAGACAGGATCTTTAGCTGATAGTTAAGTATCAATTCAACAGTGACATGTGACTGGCAAAAATGGGCTTTTAGTATATTAATTATAAAGGAGGAAATAGCCCAACTATGCTGGTAAGACCTAACTAGGAACATCATGTACAGTTATGGGTACCATAATTTAAGAGGAATAAAGATCATGCCTCTTAAATAGCCATTGAAGGAAGAAGGGATTACTCCAAAGCAGAAAAAAAAAAAGTCATCAAGAACAGAAGAGCTGTCTGGAAATATTATAAAGGGCTGTCATATGGAAGAGGGACTAGATTTACTCTACATATTATTCTAAGGTTTGGAACAAAGACCAATAGATACATACTATAGGGAAATAGATTTTAAATCAATTTACGAAATGACAAATAGAAATGGCAAGCAATAGAATATATTGGAGTATATGAGGAAGCCATTTGGTGTAAACCTAATTTGGCCTGACTTTGTTTTTCCAAAAGGGCCTGACATAGCCATTGAGCATGTACTGTATATCTGCTTTAAACATTTACTATGGCAAGAACAAATGGCCTTAAGATAAAGGTGCAACTTCCCCCACACTGGCATTTCCTTAAGGATAAGCATCTTTCCTTAGGCTAGGAACTGATTGCTGTGCTCGCCCTTGATCACCCAGCTCACCTGTGACCATGCAGCTTGAGACGAGACAACAGACCTGCCACCCTGCTGTGTTCACCAAGACAGCAGATCTACCTGCTGTGTCCATCAGTGGCTGTGCCAACAGAGCAGTCTCGTGACTATTGTAAAAGGACATTTCAATCAGATGTGAAACATCCTGTTTGGGGGTATATAACTACTCTGTACACCCCACTTCTTTGGTGCCCCTTCTTCCTTTAGGAAGAAAGCCCCGGGCCATGGTCCTCACATTTTAGCTAAGAATAAATTCACCCCAAATTTTCATTTATAGATTGGTTATGGATTATTTTCATAGACAGAAAGAACTATCTGATAGAACTGTTTAGAGGTGAAGTACATTGCCTGAATAGGTAATAAGTTTCCTCCTCATCAATGGAAGTTTTTGATCATGAGATATTGCCTTATTTAACGTCTTTATTGTAAGGAATTTGAGGCATCCAGTGCATAACTGCCCCTTTCAACCTAAAGATTTGTTAATTCTATGACATTAAATTACATGATTAAGAACGAAATTAGTAACAAGAGTAGAGGCAGTGTAGAAAAATTTTCCAGGACAAGGACTAGAATGGATAGACACATCAAAGGAAGATTGTTTTCAAAGAAAATATGGCAAAAATGACTCATTGGAGAAGAAGAGATAAAGCAGGAGGCAGTTTGGGAACTAGTCTCTTCGGGAGATGGGAGGTACAATTTTAGCGGAGAAACATATTTCTGAAACTAATGAGATGTTTGTGAGAATGGCTAAACATGAAAGCTTACTGACTTTGCTTTTCTCCTACCTGGTCATAATTTTTCTTCATAAATTAGGGAACTGAGTATTTGACTGAAGGGGGTGAGGGTGGGCAGAGGATTAATGACAAAGGAGGGAAACAAAACCCAGCCCCCACAGCTTGATACTGCTGCTGCAACACCCCAGTCTTTCCAAGTTGTGCCCCTTTCTTTAGTACAGCGTAACTTTACGGACAATTTAGTCTTGCTTCTTGTCCCGTATCAGCTCTGCTTTTATATATAACAGCTCTGCTGTTATAATTCAACTGTTTGTCCCATCTGAAGCTCTTCCTTAAAGAGCTGAGTTCTAGATTCTAATCTACTGATCTTATTATCATGTTTAAGTGAAGTGATCTTTCCACAATGCAAAACATGACTAAAACTGTTCTAGGAATTCAAGTTAGATGCAAAAAGAAGTAAAATTTTCTAATCAAATCTCAGTTCTGAGACTGTACATTCTGAAGACGAGTGTGGCAATCAGACATAAGGAAAACAGATCTGTGAACCTCAAGAGACATTATTTTATGTACAATTCTATCATGTTTCTTAAAACAAAGGGCCTCAGACTTCAGCATACATAATGGCCTGGAGGGTTTGTTAAAACAGATTCCTGGACCTCACCAGAGATCTATTCAGAAGGTGTGAGACTGGGGCCATGGATTTGCTTTTCTAACAACTGCCAGTTGATGCTGAGGCAGCTGCTCTGTGGACTACACTCACTTCTGGGTAGCACTGTCTTAAAAAACACTGCAAAGAAGGCCTTCTTTAGCATTATCTAGTACTATCCAGTGAAAAAACATATTATTACAGATTATTAGGTCCCTTCCTAGAGTGACTGAATCTTAATCTGTCATTCTCCTACTACTTGTATAATTGTTGTCATTCATGTACTATCTATAATTTAGTACTTCTAATTCTTTTTATTATTATAAAGTGAAACTTTATATATTATAAACAGAAAACTAGTACCACTTGTCATATCTAGAATGTCATTTCAAATGAATTTAAAAAATTCTAAAATTCTTGCTAAATATGGTTCCTGAAGTTTTGAGCCTGAAGCCTATTCTTTTTGTTAACCAGGGGGATTAAAAGATGAAAGCACAATTGTGACGTTCTCCTTTACTTAATTAGAAGGCTGAAGAACTGAAAAGGACTTCCTTATTATATGACTCAAATGTTATTTAGTGCTGAACTAAAATATACTTAAAACAATCCCATCTATTACTAGCTATACTTGCACTACCTCCTGGGAAACTTGATTTAAAGGAAACTTGTTCCTTCCTTCTCCAGCTTCCATTCCACTGGACTACCGATTAGAGAGAGATTTAGAAAGTATCTGCTCAGTGCCAGGCCCTGTTCTATACTGATTGGTCATACTCTGTTGCACCTTCCCCTAAACATCCCTGTGTTATTAAATACGGGTTATAATGAAAATTGGCTGCTGAGATTGTAACAGTTCTCTTGGGGATGAGGCTTACTGCAGATTCATCTTGATCCCTGACACCAATATTTTATTCTCATCACATTGTTATCATTTGTACAGAAAAAGTTTGCAGAGTTGTAATGATGATGCCTACGTGTGCCTCCCTCATATTAAATCACGGGAGAAAGTGACTGGAATGCACACAGCCATAAGCATACAGACTGGTTGGAGAGCTGTGAGTTTAGATCTAAGCAGAAAGTGGAAAAGACAGGGTAGTGTTCACTTTACCCATCCAGATCTACCACACCATCAAATTGATATAAAAGTCATTCTGAAGCCACCAAGATTCAAAAGAATTATTTTTTTATAATATATAGAGAGAAAGGGGGAAAAGCCAAACTATGTCTCAGACGAGTAATAATCCACAAAGAAAGTGAATGTGATAACGGCTTCCATCAGAAACACATGATACCTTAAGGCATTGTTATGTATAAGAAGAATATAATTATTACACTTTAAAAAATAGTTTCAATTAACCAAAGAGACAAAAAATTGAACTATGTAGCAAAATGCCAGTTTCTACTTATATTAATTAAAAAAAACCTGTAACGTCATGGAAGGAAACTAGTATTTACCTGAAGAAGAAACTTCTTTAAGCTTCCAGTTCTCATAAGGATTTTATAAAAACAATATGATCAAGGCAACAGAAATACCTTGATCAGTACCCTTTCATAAACTCACTTTTCCTCTTGAAATACCTTGAACAGTACCCTTTCATAGACTCACTTTTCCTCTTGAAAAAGAGTCACCTATAAGCTTTTATTTTGAAATAAATTTAAAGATGGTGATCGAGAAGCCATAAATATTTCTGGGTATGGCTGAAGACCCATTTGCTTGTTATCTTTCAACTTCTGTACTATAACTTTGGCAAATTCTTCTCCTTGGATGTCAGTGGTGTCCAGTAATTGTCTGACTTTTGAGGTCCTTGTAGGTTTGGTACTAACGAGTTCATAGTCCTCCTTCATGATCAAATCCCTGGACAGAAGGGCATCTAGCGATTGGTTAAGGCAGGCTTCAGTCATCTGGTTCACAATGTCTTCTCTCTTACTCTGGATCCACTGTTGGGCTATACCAGGTTGTAATCGCTCTACAGAAGAGTAAGGGATGACAATTAAAAAGGTGAGGACAGATATACAGCTATGAGTAAAATTACATTAAAAAAATACTGCATAAAACCTAATTTTCCTATGATTGTGTCAATATGTAATACCAGTATTTTGGGCCATGCTCTTAATTTTCAGGAAACATTCAGACATTTGGGTTACCTCTTCCCCTCCCCTCTCAGAAAAAGCACTGCCTTTTTATATGCTATAAATCATGGAGCAAAAACTATTTTATTTTTATTTTTCGTTTCTTTTTTAATATAAAGGATATCTGCACATTTGTTAAATAAACAAAAATAATTTTACCTTTAGTAACATATTAAGTCACATCTCCTCTCAGCACTCCTTTCTAGTCAAATGTTCATAGAATACCATTTGGGCCTATTATCACACGTCAGCAGTCATACCTTCTGGGATTGGAAGTGCTTTCCTACCTAAGAAGGTATCTATTTATTATATTGAGGAAATAAAGACAAATAAAACTTACTGTATGGCAAATCTTCTGAACACATAGATGTGAGGTAAATGACCGCATTTATAAAGTGTCTCATAGTAAATATTTACCTGAATTTCCCTCAGCTGAGAGTGAATTTATTATTGCTAAAGCGCATGGGGTGGTCTTGTGATCACAGAATGTTGCTCTCTGAGCTGCAGGAATGTTACTATCACAACTGTGATTTACTGGACAGTGATGCAGCACAGAATAGTCTTCAGTTTTTCCTATAAAACACAACATATTCATTAGAAGTAGAATATTCCTTAGATATTCCTATTAGCTAAGACATCAACATCTGGGTCACACAGAGGATACTACTCAATGTCTTTAATTTTTCACTGTTATTAAAAAGCTGGTTCATAAACCGAATTCTGTAAGTAAATATTTTTTAGAACAAAAAAGGGTTTATACTGAATGTTTTTACCATACTTCTGTCTTGTCCTATGTAAATTATAAATCATAGAATTTTACTTCTTCACATAATCCCATTATTTCTTCTTCTGTGTCATCTTCCTCCTGCACTTCAAATGTGTCCTCTAAATCTATGTATGTCTTTCTTTCTACACTCTCTTTTGGCAATCCTTTTTAACCTCCGGGCCTCAATTACTACCTCTTCCCAAATCCATGTAATTAAATTCTCTTCATTGAATCTTAATCTTACATGTTCAACAGCCCACTGGACATCACCCTAATATGTGCGGCTAAGCACCTCAGATTAAAAAAACATTAAAAACTTAATTATTCATCTTAACTCTAAAATTTGTTTCAACTCCTATTTCTGTTAATAGCACCAATGTTCCCCCAGTCACCAGGCTTAACAACTTGTTTGGTTTTATCTTTTCTCTTTAGTCCTACAAGTGAAAAGTTATAACGTCCTTTCAGTGTGTCCTCCACAACATCACTCATACCACTCTTTCCTCTGGTACTCTGGATCAGGTCTCATAATCTCTGACCTATACTACAGTAATAGACCAATAGTTCTCCCCACCTTGAGTCTCCTTTTCCTTCTAAAATATGCTGCATATTCCAGCCAGGATGAATCTTCCTAAAGCAAAAAATTTTATCATGTCATACCATTGCTTAAAAACTTGCAATAGTTTGCTCCCTACCCAAGTAAAAAAACCCAAATAGCTTAGCCTGGTGTTTGTTAGAATTCACGATGGTATGACTCCACCCTCCTGATCTTCTCTCTCTTTTCATTTAATCTCTTTACCAGCTCAATCCAATTACTTGCTGTTCTCATGTTGCTTCTGTGCCTCTATGTTGTTCCTTGGCCTGGAATGACCATCCTTTATAACTATATCCGACCTCCAGCCAGCCAGAAATAATTTCTTCAGGATGACAACATGGTATAGTGGAGTGACATGAAAATATTTATCAAAAGACCTGGCTTCAAGTCTTGGATTTGCCAGCTACTAGCTATATGAGCCAGAAGTCTGGATCTTAAGTCTTTAAAATGATGAAATCTCCCTCACAAGGTTGCTGGGAAAGTACTTTGTAAAAAATGTTACACTTCCACTGTAATGCTTTAGCTTTATATCCATATCTCTTACAATGCATCATTTTCTATCTAAAACTATGATTACTTAGAAACAGTTCTCCCCTTTCTTAGAAGAGGTTTTTTTGTATCTTTCCACAGTGTCTAACATAATGCCTTTAATACTTAAATGTATTTGTTGAACATCCCACTACTACTTGTACATCTTTAGACTGTCAATTTTTAAAAATGAGTTATGAATGCAAATGACAGACATGTTCCATACAAACCATGATTGCTTGCCAAGAATATGGTCTTGAAACAAAATGGAAAACTTGCGAGTAATGCTGATTGAAAAATTTACGTACTAGATAAAAAATCATTGTCTTGAGCTGAGAGGGACTTTGAGGTTCTGAGAGAACTACTACTTTTATGGAGTTGAGAGGATCCACACGATTCCTAAAATAAAGAGAGGATAAATGATTTAGGTTAATGGAAAATCATTTAATAGGTTATACAACTTTGGGGCCAGCCTGGTGGTGTAGTGGTTATGGTCATGGACTCTGCTTCATTGGCCCGGGGTTTGCTGGTTCTGGGTGCAGACCTACACATTGCTCAACAAGACATCCTGTGGCAGAATCCCACACAGAAGACGAATAACAACTAGGATATACAACTATTTACTGGGGCTTTGGGGAGGGAAAAAAAAAAAGAGGAAGATTGGCAACAGATGTTAGCTCAGGGCCAGGCTTCCTCACCAAAAAGCATAATTTAAAAAAAAGTCATACAGCTTTAATTTCTAAATAGTTCTTGCTTTTGGCTTATGATAAATGAAGAATCAAAACTACTACAAATTATATCTAAATTAAAGAAACACATATATAAAATAACTAACAAAAATGAACTTTATTTATCAACTCTAATTGGAGAGAGAGGGCAATAATTAAATACTTTGGAAATCATTATTTTTTCAATATTTTCTACATTATCTCAGAGGCTCTGCCTAGTGGATGGGAAATTTGAAATCTGAAACTCTGGTTACCTATTGATTTAGAGCAAATGCCTATTCTCAATGCCTCAGGTTCCTTCAACATGAAGGGGCAGGAATCCATGAAAAAAGTAATATAGACCTTGGCTCCACTTCTAGCTCTGTCATGGAATTATTGACTAACTTTCGACAAGGCATTTAAACTCTCTGGCTCTCAAGTTCCTTTTCTGTAGTGTCTAACAATGTGCATGTATGGGCTCAAAGATCCAATGAAACAGTGTATATAAAGGTGATTCAAAAACTATGTTCTGTGCTTTAAGGTTCATTTTGAACATATTATTACTGAACATATGAATATGTTCAGATGAACATATAAATAATGAATATATATACATGAACATATATATTCTTAAAAGAAATGACTAATATGACATAAGTCTGAAAGAATGCTACTAAAGAAATCATTCTTTCTGGAGAGCCACAAAAATAGCATTTTCCTTTTATTAATCACTGTAAGAAATAAGAACAAGGCAGATATTATAGCTGTTTTATATTTGGATAAGAAGACACAAATATTGTGGCAGAACTGTAATCAATGATTTATTTAGTACTACCCTGTAACACCATTCATCATATAAAACAATGACAGGTATAGAAGTCAATGCCAAACAAAGAAGCAAGGACTGTGATTTGATGAGATGAACAATGAACTGAGAATCAGGAGAGCTGGATTTCAAGTTGGAGATTGCCATGGGCTACCTAACAAATCCTAGAACCCCCTGAACTTTAGTTTCCCATCTATAAAAGGAGTTAGACTAAATGATTTTTCATATTTTCTCACATTTTCAGTTTATCAATATAATTTGTTTTACCTCCTGTGGACCATGATTTACAGACAGGTTCAGAGATAACTCCATTTTCTTCTTGTCACATAAGTGAACAGTACTCGAAGCACTCTGTAACTGGAATGAATACATATATGAACTTTAATTGGAGGTGATCAGGAAATTATGAGTAAAATACAGTCTACTTAACATTTTTTTTATTTATGCAAAGTCAATGGAAAGAGAATGTAATCAGTTTGATGATATAGTATATAATTTACAGATAGAGACGGTGTAGAACAGGGACAATAACTTTAGAGACACAGACTTTGAAACCCACCTCATATCAATTTGCTACCTCGAGCAAATTATTGATCTACCAAGTCTTCATCTTTAAAAACAGATCAATACCTACATGCAGGATTGTTCTAGTAATTAAGTGAGATAATAAATATAAAGTATTTGGTACAAACTAGGTACTTAATAAATTTTGGGGGTGTGTGTGTGTCTATCCATAATTATTAAGCATTTGTTATATTTTAGGCACTGTGCTTAATAATAAGTACTAGTATTATCTTCATTTTATAGATAGGAAACCAGGGCTGGACTAAGTAAAGGAGGCAAGGTGCCCTAACGGAATGATGAGGGTCATGGAGCCAATCAGATCTGGGTTAGAATCATAGGATACCTAACTGTTGACCTTGGGTGTGAGACAATCTCAACTTACTTGTCTATAAACTGGGGATACGAATACCTATTTTGGGGGCTAGCCCCGTGATCGAGTGGTTAAGTTTGCATGCTCTGCTTCGGTGGCCCAGGGTTTTGCCAGTTAGGATCCTGGGCGCGGACATGTCACTGCTCATCAGGCCATGTTGAGGTGGTGGCCCACATGCCACAACGAGAAGGACCCCAACTAAAATATACAACTAGGTACTGGGGGGATTTGGGGAGAAAAAGCAATTAAAAAAAAAAGATTGGCAACAGTTGTTAGCTCAGGTGCCAATCTTTAAAAAAAAAAAAAAAGAATATCTATTTTGCAGGATTATTGTAAGGATGATTAGAAGTACTATATACTCAAAGGCCCTAAGATTATTTAGTAAGCATTCAATAAATTTTAGCTGTTAAGCAGATGATTTACTTAAATGCTACACTTTTGTATTAAAACCATTAAGTGATTTACTCCTGTCTATAAAGCATGTTTGGATTAGTTACCATCACTATTGAGTGATTTAAAAACAAACCTATCAGTCTGCTGTTCTTTCCCAAACCAACATAATGCTAACTGCTCTGTGGAACTTTAGAAATTGGTGGGTTCCACACCCAGCCCTCCAGAACCCATACTTATGACTGTCTGCTCCATTACAAGGGTAAGAAATTTAGGAGGAAAAAACTACTTATCATCTGTGTATGTAATCTATATCATCTATACTCTACGTCATGTATAAAATGGGGATGATATTCTTTACCTACTAGTTTCAAAGAATTTATATAAGGATTTAAAAAGAGAAAAAAGGAACTACAACAACTCTAAGTGAAAACAATAGCAACTTAAAAACACCAAAGAAAGTAATGCTATTATTAAATGGTATGGTTCTCTTCCATTTTATAACCAACAAAGCAAATTTTTCTACCCACTTTTGCTCAGAAGAAGAGAACACTGTGAGGAGAGAAAGGGAACTGAAAAGATAAAGCAAAAAGAAATGTTATCAGAAGGTTGTATCTACTAAGAAGTAGAGAAATTGGAAAGTTCTGGAAAACACTGTACCTACTCAGAAGTAAGGAAGTTAGTGATAAGTTATCAAAAGAAGTGAAACACAGTTTTTAGTTCCTTAAAAAACTCAGGCACTAATATTGCCACCATCAATTTTTACTTTGGTAAAGGGTAGTTGTTTCCTTTATGTGCTTCCCTTTTAAAGCAAAGGTATGTCAATAGATCCAATAAACCACAACAGGCCAGTAGCAATGCTATTTAGTGATAAGTAACTGTAGCTTATGCCTGTTTACTATCCAAGAGTTTGCATAATAACTAATGATTTTTATTATCACATCTCAAATGCAATTTAATGAAACCCAGCAAGTGCTAAACTATGCTTACTTTGCCCCTAAAGGACTGTAGGTGCTTCATAAACAACTTTTGATGATATTAAGAAAACCTTGCAGTAATAAGTCCCTTCAATTGTTCTGATCTACAAGAGCCAGAATGAGTAAACAAGACAACTGTTTTAAGTAATTCATATCAACTCCTACTTTGCTTTATGCAACATTGAGAGATTGAGTGGGAAAATGAAAAAATAAAAAAATACACGTTTTGGTCTCAATTATTAATAAAAATTCTACAACTTAACTTGGCAATAAATCTCAGAAAAGCCCAAGTACACTGAATAAAGAGAAGTGCAAGAGCCCTGACATCTATTACTCAGTATAAATTAAAACTTTAGGGAAATAAATGTAGATTAAAAAAACCCCTAGTGATTTAGGGCATTCAATTGTACACAATTGGCATTTGTTACACATTTTAAATTTACATTTGCTACACGGGAGTTCTTTGAAATCTGGAGGTGGCCATTTGAATGAAATGGAAAAGTTCTTTGGTGACAAAGGACAGACAGTATTCATAGTCTCTGGTAAACGCCCCTGCTCCAATACTATAGCCTACATCTGTGAAAAGTATATAGATAAAAACTAAATTAAACTAAAAATCTCCATGACTAATATATAATTGTTTGAAGTTCTAATTTCTAGCATTTCATTTAGCAATTTACCTTTGTTTTCTTTAGTTGAATAACAGCTTCAAGAAAGGTTATCTCTTCAAATGTTCTCAGAACTGGTTCAAGTTCTATTAAACATTCTACATAAGAAAAAAATACAATTTGAGCTCATATTGTTTCTAATCATTAAATTGAAAAATCTAAGTGCTAATATTTAACTGATAAGGCCCTAAGTCAATTTTCCCCCAAAATGATGACATTCAGCTGTCTTAAGAGCCTTTATTACAGGCACAAAGATAGACATATAGACAATGGAATAGAATTGAGAGTCTAAAAATAAACCCTTACAATTATGGTCAACTGCTTTTTGACAAATTTGCTAAGGCAATTCAATGGGGAAAGAAGTGGATATTCACATGGCAACAGATAAATTTAGACTCTTACCCTCACATCACAAACAGAATTAACTCGAAATAGATCATACACCTAAATGTAAATATAGGAAAAAGTCTTCATGCCTTGGGTTAGGCAAAGAATTCTTAGATATGACATCACAAACAGGATCCATTAAAAAAAAAAAAACTTGATAATTGGACTTCAAAAAAACTGAAAACTTCTGCACTTCAAAAGAGGCTATTAAGAAAAATGAAGACAAGCCACAGACTGGGAGAACATTTTTGCATATCATGTAACTTCTAAAGGACTTATATGTAGAATATATAAAGAACTCTGACAACATAATAAGAAGACAAATAACCCAATTAAAAAAAGGGCAAAAGACTGAATTTTACCAAAGGAGATATACAAATGGCTAAAAAGCACATGAAAACATGTTTAACATCATTAGTCATTAGTAAATGCACATTAATACTACAATGAGATATCACTCCATACTCACTAAAATGGCTATAATTAAAAAAACAGACAATAACAAGTATTGACAGTGACATTGAGAAATTGAAAACCTCATGCATTGTTGGTAGGAATGTAACATGATGCAACCACTTCGGAAAACAGGTTGGCAGTTTCTTAGAAATGAAAGATAAATTTACCATATAACCCAGCAATTCCACTCATAGGTAGTTACCTAAGAAAAATGAAAACATGTGTTCACATAAAGACTTGCATATGAACAGTCATAGCAGCATTATTCATAATAGCCAACAAGTAGAAACAATCATAAATACTACCACTACTACAACAATAAATGAACTTGTTGTTCAAGGAAGATGCCAGGGCTCCAGAGATAAAAGTGAGTGTCACTAACATACAGATGGTATGTAAAACCACAGTTTGGACTGGATCATCTGGGAAGAGTGTATACACAGCAAAGTTAAGGACCCATATTAGAGCTCTGAGGCATTGAAACAGTCAGAAATTGATTAGAGGAAGAGAGAAAGAGATTGAGGGAGAGAGGATAGTAGTCTCTTGTGTCTTGGAAGCCATCAAAGGGAAAGTTCTAAGGAAGGAATTGCCAGTCATGTCTAATCTGCCAGGAGGTCAAGTAAGATAAGCAGGACCTTCCACCATCATCATTACTGGTAACCAGAACAAATGTAGTTTCAGTGGAGATATGAAAACAGAAGACTGACGTAAGTATGCTAAAAAATGAATTACAGGGAAAGAAATAGAGACCACAAGTATGGACAATTCCTACAAGGTATTTAGCTCTGAATGGGAGCAGAAAAATGAGGCAGTCGCTGAAGGATGTTATGGAGTCAAGATTTTTTTCCTAGATAAAGGTAGGAGATAATAATAGAACATATCTGTATGATAGTAGAATGATCCAGTAGACAGGCAGAGATTGGCAATGCAAGGGCTGAGAGAGAATATAAGGAACAGAATGCTGGAGAGGAGAATGGTATCCAGAACACGACTGACACTGTTTACATTTGTATATGTATGTGGACATTTTTTCTACTGTAAAAGAGATAAGGCAGGAAACATGGATACAAGCACAACTGGATCCGTAGATCTGGTAGTAGAACCAGGAGGGAGTTCCCTCTCATGGTTTCTATTTTCTTCATGTAGTGTGAGAACGGTGATCAGCTCAAAGGAAAGATAGAGCATGGGGTGTAGGAGATTTAGGAAGAGAGGATAAAGTATAATGTGCATTACCTCAGTCTTCTCTTGCTAAGTTCAGAATCTTTTAAGAAAAGCCATAGAATAAAGATAGATGGTGATCAAAATGTCACCTCTGTTACTGATAAAGCTAACTGAGAATGTACCTTCAGATCTGGAGCCACTGGGCTTGATAATGCTTTACTCCTGCAAGTTGACAGCTATATTCACTGAGTCACAGGCCGCACCCAGCTTCCACATGGGGGAGTATAAAATGTCTGCATCCTTTAGACAGGCTGACTTCTAAAGGAAGAAGAAAACTGAGAGGGGACCAGATAAGCATGCTCAGTTTTTCTCCAAAATTAACAAACGAGGTAAGTCTGAGGAGAAATGACTGAGGAACAGATAGAAGCTGGAAACATTCCTCTGATACATTCCTTCTTGGGGATTGAAATGGAATTTCATCTTTGCTTTGGAAACATGAAAAATGGGACTTGCATGCCTCCTCCAGCAGTACAAGATGATCATCTAAGACAGCAATTCTCAAACTTTTAGGTCTCAGCACTCTTCAAAATTATTGAGTACCCCAAAGAGCTTTTGTATATGTGGATCATAGCTATTGATATTTACTACATTAGAAATTAAAACTGAGAAAAATTTAAAACATAAGAGTATATGAGAACGAATTCCATTATTTGTTGGAACAATGATATCATCACACCTTATTTAGCCTCTGGAAAAATCCACTATATACTCTTGAGAGGATGATGGTAAAAAGGGAAAATAATATTTATTATTTTGAAAACAATTTTGATTTTGTGAACCTCTTATAAGAGTCTCAGGGACCAATCCCCCAACCCCACCCCACACCTTAAGAACAGTTGATCTATCAGAATGGAACAATAGATGTATCTGAGAAGCATAATAGAATTGCTAAGTAGTATTTAGTGCCAGTTTTGGCCATTAATTTAAAGAGAAACCAGTGACTTCCACTTCTGGCCAAGATGCAGTTAACAATGACCGATTTATCCTCCTGCCTGAAACAACCAAAAAAGCCAGACAAAATATATGCAACAGTGGTTTTCAAGACACTGGATATCAGGGAACAAAGGACAGCAATCATTGAGACGGGAAACAAACGAGGTGAGCCTTACGACTGCCCAGGCTCACTGCCTTGAGAGTTTCTAGCATTCTACAGTTTCCCACAGAGAGAAGGAAGTGAGGTAGAGCCTGGTGGACACTCAGAGTTGAGGAGACGGGGCTGAGAGTGTGAGTAGACAAAGGCAGGGAGACTTCATCGGACAGAGTACCAGAGAGGAGAGAGGTGTACAGAGGGAGAACTCTAGAGATCCGCAGAGGGTTCCTCTCAAGTATTCAGCAGCACTCATCAATGGAGGGTGGAGAAGTCAGTAAGCCAAAGGCCAAAGTCTTCAATGAACAATAGGGAAAAACCATTAAGCTTGTAGGGAAGCAAGTATTGCCTAATGGCATGATCTTTAAAAGAGCTAGAAATTTTAGAGAATGGAGAAGAAGAAACTATTTGGAAGGGGCATTGGAGACAAAGAAAATATATACCCTCCCACATGGTTATGGGAAATAGATAAAATGTGAATCCACTATTTTAGCAACTTTTGATTTTTTAAATATAATGCTGATGAGTATAGGACATAAATTTTGAATGGAAAATATATTTCCTCATTTTTTTAGTTGAAATGAAGATTCCCGGTCTGTGGCTTGTCTTATTTTTTCTTAATAGTAGCTTTCGACATGCAAAAGTTTTCAATTTTTTTGAAGTCCAACTATCAAGTTTTTTAAATTTTAAAACACTTTTATTATATAAGTAATACAAATAAACAAAAACTGAAATATTGAAGAAAGACAAAGTCATCCATTTACTGCCCTGCCATCCTATTATAACTACAGTAGTTTGCCATCTTTTTATTTATATGCTTGGTATATTATTTACAGCTATGATCATACCCATTTAGACATTTTTGTACCTTGCTTTTTTACTAAATATTTTCTCATGTTTTTCATTATATCCATTACTAATTTTTAATGAATACATAATGTACCATTCATTGGCTATATATATCTGTTTACTATTTCCAGACCAGGCAAACTATGGCTCTGCATTTGTAAGTAAAGTTTTATTGGAACACAGCCATGCCCATTTATTTACATGGTTATTTTTATACTACAAACTGCAGAGTCGAAAAGGTGTGAGAGAGACTAGGGCCTGCAAAGCCTAAAATATTTCCTTTCTGGCCCTTTACAGAAAAAGTTTGCAGATCCCTGACTTAAACTTTTAAGTGATTTATAATTCGGGCTATTACAAGTAATGCCACTTGGAACATCTTTGTGCATATAATTTTTTGTACTTTAGGCAACTTAATTGGGAGGTATTAACAAAAGTAGAATAACTGAGTCTACTTAATAAAGATGTTTTCAAGGCTGACACTGTCCCCCACTGTCTCTCTTCTAACATTCTAGCTATGATATAATAAGAGTGGTGGTAATAAGAATGGAAAGGATGGCCCAGTACTCCTGTAGGTAGCACTTCTCTGGTCCCTATTAATCTAGATATGTATTTTTACACTCTGGATGAGCATATTTTTAGTTTTGATTTAAAGTTAACCAAAAAGGGAAGTAACAGTAATTGCAACATGAAAACCAATTGAAAGAAATCTTTTACTTTCTACTGGGGCTGAAAAAGCAGACTGAAGTAAACTCTCCAGGTGTCAAGGTGTATGCAATGCCATTCCAGGCTAGCTGTAGTGGCCATAATGCAATGGGAGGGCTGAGTAAGGGAAGGAGGTGGCAGTCTCAACAGTCTAGTAGTGGCAGCAGTGAACAATGAGGCAGCTGTGGGTGCAGGATGACAGAAGAAACACACGTGCTCCATCCCTCTGAACACATCCTAGGCAGAACCTTGTATACAACTGTAATTAAACTGTCTCTAGATAAGAAATTTCTAGAGCAACTACCCTAAATTTTTTAACAGAAAAACATTTTTCTATCTTGGAAAACTTTATTCTTCAAAAAGAAAACTTACGGATTATGACCAGCTGAGTCAACCCTGACTATCTCTGAGATAAAAGATGAAGCAGGCTCATAGGTCTCAAATCCAATCTTGAATGAATAAAGCAAGCATCAGGAAGTATAGGTGTCATCTTCTAAGAGAAATATTCTTACAATTTTCGAGATGCCTTCAAGATCTCCCTTATCCTGTTATGGCTGAGGGAAGCACTGATGGCTGTGGGCACCACAGTCTGTAACCCTTCTCCTTCTATCTCAGTACTGACAAGGCAGATGAGCTGGAGATCTGGTAATCCCACACAGTTTACTTCATGCCAACTTTTACTCTCCATGAGGCCCAGGTAAATCAAGAATGCTATATAAACTTGGGTGGCATCTCCTATATCTAATTCCATTATTTCTAAATACTTAGGGTGGGTGCCCATCCAGGCATCTTCGGGGGCCCATGAGTGGGCACTGCTGCCACCGCTGCCTAAGCCCAGACTGCTGCAGCTTGGGGTGGGCTCGGGGTCACTGTGCTCCTCCACGCCAGGCCATGCTGCACCCAATTATCAATTTTTTTAAGGATCTTGTTTCTGATGTCATATCTATGAACTCTCTGCCTACCCCAAGGTCATGAAGATTTTCTCCTATTTTGCATTGAGATGATGATCCGTTCTACCTCTGAAATAAATCTTAATTCTAATTCTTCTACTCTAGGATTACCACCTTAACTAGAAAACTCCTGCCAAGAGTCTCCTAGCTGGTCTCTTTGCTTCCACTCTTGCTCCAAACAATTTTCCACATAGCAGCAAGAGTGATTTCTCCTAAACTTAAATTAGATCATGGCATTTCCCTGCAAAACACAATTTAATGGCTTTCCATTGTACTTGGAATAAAAATCAAACCTTTTATAATAGCCAACAGCCTCTTCTACCTCTCCAGTCTCACCTCATATTATTCTCTTCCTTGCTCACTATATCCCAGCTCACAGGACTTCTTTTTGTGTGTTGCAAATACCAAACTTTCCTCTTCTAGCTTCAGGGTCTTTCCCTTGCTGTTTTCTCTGCCTGAAATACTCCTTTACTTTTTGAATGGCTGGCTCCTTTTCAAGCTTAAAATTTCAGCTCAAACATTTGTTTCTAAGTAAAGGGCTTTCCTCCCCTCCTTTAACTACTCTATTATCTTGCTTATTTCCTTAAAGGACTTCCACAATTTATAACTTGTTCATTTATTTGTTTTTTCCCTGTCTTCTCAACTTGAACGTGAGCTCCAGGAATTTAGCAACTTAGACTGTCTTGTTCACTACTCTGTTCCCCGTGCTCCCCACAGTATGTAGCACATGGTAGGTGTTCAATAAATACTTGTTGAATACATGAATGGAATTATTACTCATATCAGATGATTTCTCTTTTCTGTTAGGAATTCTCAAATCTGCTCTAGAAGCAGTTACCCTCTTATAAATGCTATGAATGACAAGAGTGAAGAGAATTAAAAAAACAACTTCGAGTCTCTCATCTAACTTGTGTAATCTTTCAAGGAATATTTTATTCACAGTATACACACTATTTTTGTAATTCAAAAAGTCCAGATTAAAATTGTACACTCACTTAAGAATGATGGTCTTTCATCTGGATTTTGTGCCCATCCACTTTCTATCAGAGAGATCATAAGTGCTCGATGAGGTATATCAAATGGCAAACTTTCTTCATTAGTGTCAGGTCGATGTCCTTGTGACACACTATACATAATCTGCAAAGGATTGGTGACTTCTGTCAAAACAAATATATTTCCTTCATTAGAAATATTTTATGATTCAATATATTAAATACAGTCTAAACCCACCCAAATGAAAATGAAGGAATCTTAGAAATAATTCATTACCCCCCTTTTGTTAAAGGAATATATATATCCCAGCCACTGCCAGATCTGTCTGCTTCCTGTGGGAGGAGTTTATATCCTCATCTTATTAATTTTGGCTTAGCCAAGTGATTTGATTTTGTTAATGGAATGTGAGTAGAGCAGAGCTGAGCAGAACTTAGCAGAGCCAGAAGGGCCATAGCAACTAATATCTAATGTTAATAAGAAACAAATGTTTCTTTTGTAAGCTATTGAGGTTTTTTGTTACACAGCAAACTGAGTAACGCAAACCTTAAAATAATGTTATCAGAAAATTTAAAAATTATTCTTGTTTGTCAGTCATTTTGGAAGGAGAACTAATTAAAATTTCATATAAAGAGTTTCATAGCTGGAATGAATCTCAGAAATAGCATTCAAAATTCTCATTTTACAGATGCAAAAGATGAGGACTCAAGATTTAGAGGCTTGATCATAGAACTAATTACTGTCAGAGTAAGAATTAGAATCTACATCTTTATGATCCTTAATCAAGTACACTTTCCAAGATACAGTGGATTCACAATTGATAAACTGTTGGTTTTACAGTGTGTTTGCCACAAAATGAATGGTAGGCAGATTTAAAATAAGATGAGCTTTAGATAGTTCTGAGTGTGGCCTACCAACATGATGTTATCTAGAATAAGGAAATCAAAGTACACTTACCTTCAAAAGGCTGTTTTCTGGATAAGACTTCCCATGTGATAACTGCATAGCTGTTTAAGATAAAAAAATATATATATAGTACATTATAAACTAACTTGAATAATAATCTAAAATAGCACTAAATTTAAGAGCTGACTGTGGAGACACCATTTTTTGTTTCTGGTAAGGAATATTCGCCCTAAGCTAACATCCATTGCCAATCTTCCTTGTTTTTTCTTTTTTTTTGCTGGAGTAAGATTAGTCCTGAGCTAGCATCTGTGTCAATCTTCCTCTATTTTGTATGTGAGATGCCTCCACAACATGGCTGATGAGTGGAGTAGATACACACCCGAGATCCGAACTCACGAACTTGGGCTGCCGAAGTGGAGTCTGCGGAACTTTAACCACTTGGCCATGGGGCTGGCCCCTGGAGACACCATTTTTGAAAGTGTTAAGGTAGTGGAATGCTGTATAAAGAATCACCATATACAGCCAAGATGATGAATGTTCATATACAGTTTTGTTTTGAAAGGGAATTAACCCTAAATTGAAAAAATAGAAATTACTGCAATAAAAATGAAGTTAGGGGCCAGCCTGGTGGCGCAGTGGTTAAGTTTGCACGTTCTGCTTCTCGGCGGCCTGGGGTTTGCTGGTTTGGATCCTGGGTGCCAACATGGCACTGCTTGGCACACCATGCTGTGGTAGGCGTCCCACACATCAAGTAGAGGAAGATGGGCATAAATGTTAGCTCAGGGCCAGGCTTCCTCAGCAAAAAGAGGAGGACTGGCAGTAGTTAGCTCAGGGCTAATCTTCCTCAAAAAAAAAAAAAAAAGAAGAAGAAGAAGAAGTTATATGCAAGGCCAACTTGTTGAGGATAATTTAATCACTCTTGGAGACTTAGATAAGCTGTGCCCTCTAATGACATAATTTTATTCTTCACAATAAATAAATAAAGAGCAATAAAAAAAATTGTCTTACGTAGCCCTATTCTACTGAATTTTTTCTGGTGTGAGTACTACCGCCTTTGGTAGTATTATGTGTTAGGCACACTGTTTCCCTCCCTCCATCAAAGTCACATATGATAAAAACTCTAAGTATTACACTATAAATTTCTTCAAGGATATAACAGTGGCTTAGAGTAAGGCATCTTTAATTTGAAAAATATTAGTCACTCTGGTCTTTATTTTCACCATACTTATGAGAGAAGAATAAAAATCACATTTTAAAATGTAGCTTCAAAATTCTGATTGATTAATCTTGTTTTTTCAGACAAGTTAACTCTGAGCAAAGGTAACATACTATACCTATATATATCATGCTTGACACTGGCCCTTGATTTTTGTCCAGGTTCATAGTTTTCAGGTGGCATATAGATAATTGTCCCTCCTTCTGGCGCAGATTTACTACTTCGTGACTGTGAGAGGGACATCATGCGCCATTTTGATAAACCAAAATCTGCAATCTATAAAGGAAAAGAATAAATAATTGAATTTAAAAATATTCTCTTTAAAAAAATCCAAGAATTGACTGTCTTTTTTATACGCGTTGTATTTGAGACCAGAGGATATATCATATATATTAATACTTTATCTCTCTATATTCCACCAGTTTCTTAACAAATTGGATTCCATAGTGTTGAGCGAATAACTCTAGAAGCAATACATACTGATTTAAAGTTTAGCATGTTATTACAAATTTTAAAAGGGAGACTAAATTTCGAAAAATTAAAGAGGGGTATTTTTTGCCTTATAATTTGAATGAGTGTATACACTGAACACTACTTTATATGACCAGCAGCTGTATAGCATGTGCTCTTCAAATTCACCTACACCTCACAGAACTGCTAAACTACTCATATCTCTTATGATTGTCACTGAGTATTGTTTAAAACTCAGGTGTTTTTGTTGCTTGGAAAGATTCACCCTGAGGTAACATCTGTTGCCAATCTTCCTTTCTCTCTTTTTTCCCCTCTCCCCAAAGCCACAGTACATAGCTGTATATTCTAGCTGTAGGTCCTTCTAGTTCTTCTATGTGAGCCACCGCCACAGCATGGCTACTGACAGATGAGTGGTGTGGTTCTGCACCCAGGAGAGATGAGAGGTGTGGCTCTACCTGGGCTGCCAAAGCAAAGAGTGCTGAACTTTAACCACCAGGCCATCATCAGGGCTGGCCAAACAACTCAGGTTAAATGTTCTTATTTATAATGCCCTAAAAATAGAATCCTTAAATTCTGAAATAAGCAAAATCCCAATATAGTAAGCTCATTATTATATCGTTTATGTCTACCACTAAAAGCATCATATCTGTTGGCAACAGTATAGTTAGTATATAAAGTCTATTTACATCCATAACAATGAGGGCCTAAAGAATTATCAGTGACAAACATCCTGTACTTTTGATATGTCCTTTATAGTTTTACTTCACTTGTAAATCTTGTGCAGATGTTATACAATATTTTAACTCTCTAAATATTCAAAAGGTTCCTTATTTAAAAAAAAACAGAAGATAAAATGTAAGAATAGAATAATATTTAGTGGACAAAAGAGTATTGGAAAACTTTAAAGACATTTAATTTAAATTACTTGGACCTTTACACTGTATAATTTCTAAGTCAACAGAGTGGAATGAGTTCCATATAGTACACTACGTGTATTTCAATTATTTAACTCTCATATCTTTACTAGTTTTAACAGAAGAAATTTGTTTAGTGTATAGATGAATTTGAGATAAAAAAAATTATGGCCCCACTCCAAAAAGGGAGGGAGTGGACTATATGAATCTTTCATACATTATTATAATAAAAAGGTACATCTAAGTAAAAAAAATTAGAAAAGACCAACAGAAAACATGGTGCCAGGACATGAAGAGCTAAGCTGGATTGACTTTAAAAGGCAATACAGCATGTGGTTCAGAACATGGGTTCTGGAGCCTAGATTATTTAGATTCATCTTCCAATTCTACCACTTAATTAGCTGTGTGACCTTGAGCAAGTTTTTAAATTTCTCTGTGCCTCAGACTGACCATCTGTAAAGTGGGGATAATAACAGTATTTATATCATAGGGCTGTATTGAGAAAATTAAATGAGTTATTCTAAGCAAAGCACTCAGAGCATCTGGTACATAATAAGTGATCTAGATGTGTCACTATTATTAATGTTTTGTATACAGGAATAAATCTCTAAAGGTTGCTCTTATTCATACAATACCAACAAGGACAGTGTGAAGTTTCAGGGCCTTGATCACTTTTGGGTGGTAGTAAGACTCTAGAGACTGCATATCCCACTTACTCCTACTTGGCATTGAAAGCTCTATTCCTCCCACCCACCCTCTAAAAGCAAAATCAGTATTCTGGTTGCACATGTGCCAGGATAATAAGCATTAGTATAATAAATAAAGTTTATTCTTGTCCCACAGTGAAAAATCCTAAAAAAAACTTGGGGTGTGATCTCATCTTATGCCTGAACCACAATTTACTGTTGGAGAAAACGTATTCCTGAGCTTGCTTCCTTATGTGCTCCTCTTACTTCACCTAAGATCTTCATCTTTGCATTTTCAAACCTAGCCTAAACACCTTAACCACAATTTCCTCTATTTGATGATATAATTTGGCTTTTATGTGGAACCATACTTCTCCCCTTCTTCTATTAAAAACAATATCATATACAAAAGACATGATTCATTAAATCTGTATCTTCAATAGAAGGAAAAAAGTGAAGAACATGAGGGGAGGAATAAGAATTCCATGATTTCTTGAGGATCTTGATAAATTTATCATTCAACAATAAAGACAAGAGGATAGGAACTTTTCCATTCTAGACAAGATCTTAACATGCATTTTAAAGGTAAAAGCTTTCTTTTTAATAAAAAAGATGGTAAAAAAAATCAGAGGAAATTAAAATGCACTACTCATCAAAGACATCCATAATCCTATCACCCTACTAGAATAGCTACTTTCATTTACATGTATTATCCATACTGTAAAACTATCCAGTTATCATCAGGAAAAAGCTAAGAAGAGTAACCTCTAAATATTCTGGTTTTCTCACAAAACTGACAATAGCAGAGAAAGTAAATATGGTACATAAAAATATTTTCCAAGAAGTTTATCACAGGTTCATTTGTATCTAAGATGCACTAATGGACACTTGATTGACAAATAACCAAATTGAATGTATTCTTTCTAAAGGAGAAAAGTCTCAAATGATCTTTAATTGGTAGTAAATATTTTTCGTTTAGATACTATGTTTCTGGTTAGCATTCCAGCAAGAAAAATTACTTCAAAAACCTGTAGCAAGGTGTGAATTTCCATTTAATTTCATTAAGTATTTTTAAGGATGTTTTGTGCTTTATTTAAAGAACCTTCCAAGAAGACAGGTAGATCAAATAATCCTTACTTTTTCATGCATCACTGATAAACTCTGACTTTTCTTTTTTGGTGAGGAAGATCTGCCCTGAGGTAACATCCCTTGTCAATCCTCCTCTTTTGTTTGGTTGAGGAAGATTAGCCTTGAGCTAATATTTATGCCAACCTTCCTCTACTTTGTATGTGGGATGCCTCCACAGCATGGCTGATGAGTGGAGTAGGTCTGCACCTGGGATCTGAACCTGTGAACCCAGGCTGCTGAAGTGGAGCATGCAGAACTTTAACCACTCAGCCACAGGGCCAGCCTGAACTTTGACTTTTTTGTCCCCCCCATGAACATTAGTTTTTATTCTCTGGTTAAATGTACACACAATTCCTAGGCATGACTTTTAAGGATAATTTCTTCAAATAATTTATCATTACAATTGAAAATAACCTTTGTTTACACAGATAACAACAAATTTAAAGTTTTAAAAACAGCCACCCCAAATTTTACAACAGTTAAAATTATAGTTAAAGAAACTAATAGTTCTTCCTTTTATTTTCCTGACAAAAGCATTCCTGAAATAAATTGTGATAAAGCAAATTGATTTAAAAATAATAACGAAGCTTTAATTTGTGGTTTGTGCATGTACTGCTGGAACAGTCATTCTGCTGCTGGCTTGAAAGGCATATCAACCACAAAGGCATAGGAGTATCCAAAATATATGATAGCAGAGATTTAGGGCTGCTGCCTGGGCATGCTGAACTTTGACTTTTAAGGGACATTTATAAAGTAAAAAGGGGAGATACATGGGATGCATATAAAAGAGTACTGCTAATTTATAAGAATAGTACCTGTATGTGCTAAAATTAATAAGAATTACAAAAAATACACAAAACCAGGCTATTTTAAATTCTATTGATATAAAAGAAAGACCAAGGGTACCCTGTTGACAAATGAAAAAGAGAAAGTAGGGATCATCACCTATTACTTTGCTTCTGTTTTCTTTATCAATAATAATTTCTGGACTGAGATAAAGAAAATGAGGTTAAAAGGTTTATAAAGTGTCAGTCTCAGGTTATTTTATATGTATTTCAGGTTATTGAGAATACTTGCAAATACCTTCTTGGTGCTATGAGTGTTCTTTGTGGGATAGAATGGAGAGGTACTATAGGATATCAGAAAAGTAAATGTCATTCTTATTTTTAAAAAGAAAAAGAAATGTTGATTTTGAAAATCTATATACTGGTAGGAGATTATCCTTAATTCCTGGTTAAAAAAATTTAGAAAATTTTATAGAAGGGATACTTTATGAGTAAATAATGAAAGAACCAGCAAGAATTGATGAAAAACAAATTATATTAGATCAGTGGTCAATTTCAGACCTCATGTGCTATATCCCAAGCACAATGCCTAGCACACCATAATTGTTCCACAAATACTTACTGAATAAAGGAATGACTGACTTCATTTCTTTTTTGACAGTTAATTACTATTGCAAAAGAGTAAATGTAAAAACAGTTTGCATATTATAAAACATTTTGCAGTACTTTAATAATAACATACTTGACTATAAAGACAACAGGTCTATCTGGTATATATAGAAGATCTGGAATTCATTTATTTGTTCATTCAACAAATATTTATTGAATGCTTCCACATGGCATGTGCTGAGCATGTGGCAGTTAATAAACTAGACTAAATTTCTGTCTTCATGGAGCTTATATGCTAACTGGGGGAGATGGTCAACAAACATATTAATAAAACAATGTCATGTGTTATGGTGAAAAATACTATGAAGAAGCATACATCAAAGTATGAGGATAAAGAAGAACTGGGTGGGTGGTCACGGAAAGCCACTCTGATAATGAGACTGAAGAAGGTGAGGAAAGTAAGCTGTGAGGATATCTGGGAAAGCAGCCAAGCAAGGACTCTCATATATTCTTATGGACAAAATGGAAGTAATATTCTTTTAGAAGTATTCAAAGCAAACTGTATGATTATTCTCCAATACTGCTGATGAACAAAAGGACTGATAGTGACCTGGAGAGAGGTTCTCAGCACCACGTGGCAGCTGTGATCTGAGCTCTCTACTGGTTAACATTTAATCATGACTTGAAAATACAAAAAACTAGCTGTTTAAATTTTAGGATGACACAAGGCTAGAAGAGAAAGTTACAACCTTGGACTACAGAAATAACGTTCAAAACGGTGTTAAGAGGCTGAAGTGATCAACCAAATCTAACAAGATAACATTTGCTGATGTCCAGAAAGTATTCTGTAAAGTACATGATAAGGAGATGTGGCTTAAGCAACAATACATGAAAAAAACCCCTCTCAGGGCTTTTTGTTGACACTAGCCCCATTTGAATGTTGTGATATGGCTGCCCCCCAAAAGTTGATGAATTATCAAGGAAATATTAAGAAAGGTATTTAGGACCATTGAATTCTACATTTATCAGACCATATCAAGAATATTTTATTCAGTTTTGAGGATCAAAATTTAAAAGAGGGTTGGCCCCGTGGAAGAGTGGTTAAATGTCCATGCTCTGCTTTGGTGGCCCAGGGTTTCGCTGGTTCAGATCCTGGAGGTGGACATGACACCGCTCACCAGGCCATGCTGAGGCGGCATCCCGCATGCTGCAACCAGAGGCACTCACAACTAGAATATACAACGATGTACTGGGGGGCTTTGGGGAGAAGAAAAAATAAAAATAAATAAAAAAAAGATTGGCAACAGAGGTTAGCTCAGGTGCCAATCTTAAAAAAAAAAAAAAAAAAAATTTAAAAGAGACTTAAACACAGATGCATCTAGATAGCACCTGGGAATAAAACCCATGTAATAAGGAAATTAGCTGAAGGAACTAAGGATGTTTAGCAGGGAAAAGAACAAAACACAAGTGTACGTGAGGGGCAGGGGGATTTTGGCTATCTTCTAATATTGAAAGGGCTGTCACGTGGAAGTAAAATTGGACTTAGTTTATCACGAAGAAAAGACCGAGGACAAACGGGTGGAAGCAACACGGAAGGATTTTTAACTGATCACATTAAGAAAGTGTCACAGTCATTTAAGTATGGATGTTAAGACTCCCCTGTCATAGGATAACTGCCCTGGGAGACGGGGGATAGTTGCAGTGAGGATTGAGGGGACTAGCTCTCCATTAAGGTACTGCTACTTGTATGGTTCTCTAATTGATGTTATAGATGAGTGTCTCTTTTTATTAATACTGAAGCAGCAGCTTGCTTCCATCTCTCTTCCTCTCCCATTTTACTCTAGGGAGAGGAAGAGTCTTCAATAAAGATTCATTTTTTCATTGAACTTCTCTCATATTTTTTGGTATTAATTTATCTATTGTTCCACTTCCCTATTACTTATTTGAACATTTTTTGATATTTATAATAATTATGTATATTATTATAGTAAGTGTAGCAAAATAATATATAAAAATTGAGTGAGTTGCATTTAGTATTAATTACTTTTTATTTTTACTTTTTATTTCCTGTCATCAGTTAGATATAGGGGAATTGTGAAATCACTACTACATCTGGTGCCTTTAGGTACCTACATCTTATATTTTATATAAAAATTAATTCAAAATAATACAATTAAAAACAATAAAATAATAAAATTAAAAACATAAAACTATAAAACCTTTAGAAGAAAATTTTCAATATTGATGGCTTGGTAAACAGTTCTTAGACATGACAGCTAAAGTATGATCATAAAAGAAAAAAAGTTGCATTTCATCAAAATTAAAACTTTTGTTTTGGGGTGGGCCTTGTGGCCGAATGGTTAACTTCGCGTGCTCCGCTACGATGGCCCAGGGTTTCTCTGGTTTGGATCCTGGGCGCAGACATGGCACCACTCATCAGGCCACGCTGAGGTGGTGTCCCACGTACTACAACTAGAAGGACCCACAATTAAAATATACAACTATATACTGGGAGGACTTGGGGAGAAAAGCAGAAAGAAAAAAAAAAAGAAGACTGGCAACAGTTCTTAGCTTAGGTGCCTATCTTTAAAAAAAAAAAAACAAAAAAAAACTTCTGTTCTGTGAAAAACCCTGTTAAAAATATGAAAAGAGCAAACTAAGGACTGGGAGAAAATATTTGAAAACTACATGTCTGAGGAAGGACTCATATCTATAAAATATATACAACTCTCTAACTCCAACAATAAAAAACTCAAAGAATCCAATTAGAACATGGGCTTAAGACATGAAGAGCCATTTCACCGAAAAGGATATATAGATGGCAAATGGGAGCACATGAGGTGTTCAAAAACATTAGCCATTAGGAAAACGTAAAGTAAGACCATGATGAGATGATATTATACATTTATTAGAACAGTTAAAATAAAAAACTGTGATAATACAAAACATGGTGAGGATGTGCAAAAGCTGGGTCTATCATACACTGCTGGTGGAATATAAAAACAGTATAGCCACTCTGGAAAATAGGTGGGTAGTTTCTTAAAAAACTAAACATACCCTTATCATTTAACCTAGCATTGCACTCTTCGGTATTTATCCCAGAGTAACGAAAACTTAAGTTTATTCAAAAAGTTGCATGGGTTTGTTCATAAAAGCTTTATTGTAATGGCCAAAGACTAGAAATAATCAAAATGTTCCTCAACATGGGTGAATGGTTAAACAACTGGGGCACACCCATAGCATGGAATATTATTCAGCAATAGAAAAAGGAACCAATTATTGATGCAAGCAACAACTTGGAGGGATCTCAAAGGCAGTATGCCAAGTGAACAAAGCCAATCTCAAATATCACATACTGTATGATTCCATTTACAACGCAGAATTCTTAAAATGACATTACAGAGATGGAAAACAGATTAGTGATTTTCAGAGATCAGGGATGGTAGCATGAGTGATATCTTTGTGATGATAGAGTAGTGCTGTATCTTGATTGCTGTGGTGGTTACATAAATTTATACATGTGATAAAGTGACACAGAACTACATACATGCATTGTATCAATGTCAAATTCTTGGTCTTGAGGTCCGGGAATAGCTAAGCCACTGCAGCACGAAGAAGGGACACTGAAAACAAGAATTACGGGCTACGGAAAAGGGGGAGATATTAAGTTGGCTAGGTGGAAGAAATAACTAAACAGTCTTTTTAAAGCTATTAATCACAAGGAAGCAAATAAACTTTGTTTTTAAAGTAATTACCTTAACATGAAATTCATTATCCAATAAGATATTTTGAGTCTTCAAATCATGATGAAGTAAAGGAGGATTCATATTGTGCAGGTAATTTACACCCAGTGCAATTTCATGTAGGATGCGAAATCTCAACGGCCAAGCAACATCAGGATATTCAGTTTTCTTTATACATATGGAAATAAACAAACCCGAAATCAGTGGCCAAATTTCATTAAATTTCCACTTAGGAAATTAAATATTCCAAGAGGAAATACAGTAGAAACTAAGGTCAAAACACAAGCTCATTTTTATTACAGTTATCAATTTGATATTAACATCCTTCTATCTTATTTTCTTCACTTTTTAGAAGAAATAATAACTTTATAGTACTGATATTTCCTTTTAGTTTATACTGGCAATGCAACTACATGGTGTTGAGTTTTTTTTCTTCAGTTGACCGAGTTTTCCATTATTTTTCATCTGTATAATACCCAGACACATATACCTATACTCATATCCATCTCCCCGTTCTACGGCTCATATCCAGAAACTTGTGCGTACACATACACACACACAATTTGCTTCTAGTACATACCAAACCATTCATTCAAAATTTATATTTTAATTTTCCTGTTAATACCCCACTTTCTTATAATAATCATTGCATCAATTAAAAATTATGACCATTATATTTATTGAGTAAGCATTAATATCTTGTACTTTTAACCATATACTTAATTTACTTACATTCCAGCTGGAAAAATTAGCCTTTGGGGGTTTTGTTTTTGTGAAGGAGACAAAGATCAACTTCATTTCGAAAGTGTATATAATATAGACATATATAAAACATGATGTTTTATATGTATATATTTTTGGTGAGGAAGATTATCCCTGAGCTAACATCTGTGCCAATCTTCCTCTATTTTGCATAGGGGACGCTGCCACAGCATGGCTTGACGAGTGGTGTGTAGTCAGTGCCTGGGATGTGAACTCATGAACCCCAGGCCGCTGAGGTGGAGCACGTGAACTTAACCACTACACCACCAGGCCGGCCCCATGTTTTATATTTCTTAGTACTTACAAGTGATAGTCATCTGAACTTTTGTAAAATAAAGGTTTTCTGAACATAAAAGTTAATGCAGCTTCCCAGGAGAATGAATATTCTCAGAACAATAAGATAATCTGGGAAGATCTGACAGCCAATCATCAAGGCACCATGTCACTGGATACCTTTTTCCATATGATATGAAAAAGTATGCTTCTAATGAAAGCTCACAACTGTTCTTGAGAATTTTTTCTGCAAATGGATCAGCTTATAGTTCAGTGATCAATCCAGCAAGGGAGTGGCTCAAAATACTTTGTGTTTACATTGTATTTTGATTTTTTCCAACAATCTTTTGTGAGGTTGAAAGAGGGTGCTACAAGATAAATCCCACCCTAATAATGCAATACAGGAAACCAAAGGAAACACATAACACTAATTTTGACCATTACTTCCTCTGGTATATACAGACCCCCGTCCATCTGTAAAAAGGTAACTTTTTCTGAAAATTATGTAATTTAAAGGGGTAATGAGGCCTCTCTGCAGTAGAGTATTACTTGGAAGTTTTTGACGAAGGTAAAGAAGTGCCCACTCTATATTTTATAATTACTTCTAGGAGTTAGCAATTCCCCTGAAGCAGGCTCTAAAACTTCTGCTGGGCTGCAAATTTGGGTGCCAGCGTACCTACCGGAGTGCTGGAGTATGGGAAGAAAATGTTATAATTTCTATTATATTCATTTTTCAAAAAAAAAAACCAAACTATGCTTAATTAATATTTGTATCTTGATTGCTGTGGTGATTACACAAATCTTATACATTGACACTAGTTACTTTACTCCATCTTTGCTTCAGATGGTCACATAATAAATAGAATGTGATGTATCCACTCTCCCTTGATCACTTACAGAACACTGTGATGTATCAGAATTTAGATGCATCCAGCAATTGGTTTGTACAGATATTACCCAGTTTTAACTAACCCAACCCTCACTAAATAAACTGAGTGGTTTAAAAAGATTTCTCAAGAGAAACTGTAGGTTGGAGATAACATTAATAATATAAGCTCAAGCAAATAACAATAGATGAATACACATATTCTGAGAATGATGATCCCCAACTTTGTTTACTAATGGGATTCATAGTCAAAGCCAGAGTAACAGGTACCTTGACAAAAAAATCAAATGGCTCATGCCACTGTCTATTATTGGAAAGGCTAATGTATTTAGTACTCAGAGATAGATTTATTTGGCCCATTAACTCAGAACTTTATGCACTGGTATTATTAACATTTAATATGAATCCTAAATTGTCTTTAACATAAAATAAAATTTGGCCTAAGAGTGAATTGTAGGTATGCAGAGTTTATCTTTTCTCTCTCCTATGCCTGAGTATATATACATGTGGATATTGGAATTCAGTGTAAAACTCAGGAACAGTAACCTAAGCAAAATAATCTAGGTCCCTGAGAATACCGGGCCTGACTCGACAGTATTTTCAACAACACAAAAGAAGCCACATATGGTGAAACTTTACCACTGATATTGTTTTTCATTATTCTTATTTTGATTCATCTATATATCCCCAAATAATCCGATCATATGTAAAACCAAAGCATTATATAGCTTGAATAACAGAATTATAGCCCCTGAAAATATACAATACTTACCCTATGTAAGAGTTCATTTAATGATCCATTTGGCATGTATTCAGTAACTATTCCCAAAAATTCAGGCTCATTGCAAATTCCCAAAATTGGAAGAATGTAACTAAATCTAGCTTTGTGTAAAATTTCAGCTTCTCTTAAGACATCATTTCTTTCACTAAAGAAAGAAAATCATAATTATTTCAAAGAAATGAAAAATACACAATTATCATGTCCATAGTACTAATTACGCCTGGACTTTTTCACTCATTAGCTTTTGACTTCATGTAAATTATGCAACTTCTCTGTCCTTTAGTTTCATCATATTTAAAGTAGGGATAATGTCTACCCTATATATTCCACAAGTCTATTTAGAGACCAAAATAACTTCTATAAGCCACTGATAGAAAAAAGTGCTACACACAAGTTATTATTATTGTACTTTTCTAGGAAAGAGAACACAATGTTTAAGTTTATAAAGTCCATCTATATTAGAATGATTGGTGCATGAACTAGTTAAATTATTAAGTTTATGTAGTTTTAAAGTGACTAGATTTGATTAGAATATTATATTAAATTTTATGGTTTAATACTTTATAAAATTTTTCCAAATATTCTGAATATTAAAATATCTAAATATTGTAGGTTTAAATGACTAGATGATAACAGTTGCATAAGAGTCAAAAACGCTTAGAAATTACACACTGGCATTCAGAAAAAGAACACTGAGAATAAGTAAATGCTTATAACAGATTGCTGGGGTGACTTTGGATTCCAGGTTCATTTGCTTATTCGTACATAAAACAAATAAATATTGAACTTTTATTATGAATAAACTGTGCTCAGCATTATGGAGAATATAAAGATGAAAAAACATAGTCTATGTCCTCAAGTTCCCCAGAAATCTTTCTTTTCTTTTTTTTTTTTCAGAAGATTAGTCTTGAGCTAACATCTGCTACCAATCCACCTCTTTTTGCTGAGGAAGACTGGCCCTGAGCTAACATTCATGCCCATCTTCCTCTACTTTATATGTGGGACGCCTACCACAGCATGGCTTGCCAAGTGGTGCCATGTTCGCACCTGGGATCTGAACTGGCGAACCCCAGGCTACTGAAGTGGAATGTGTGAACTTAATCACTGCACCACCCGGCCAGCCCCTCCCAGAAATCTTTTAAGAAAAATACTCATTGTGGTTTTGATTTGCATTTCCCTGATGATTAGTGATGCCAACACTTTTTCACATATCTGTTGGCCGTTTGTATGTGTTCTTTGGATATGTTAGTTATCTTGAGTTTGGTAATCATTTCACGATAAATATGTATATCAAATCATCATATTGTGCACTTTAAATATATACAATTATATCTGCCAATTTTTTCTCAATAAAGTAAAAAAATAAAGAAAGCAAACAAAAAAGGAAAGAAAATAATACTTAAAATATAAGGCAAATAGTGATAAATACCACCAAAAAAAGAATAAGTAAGTAAATAAATAGAGAATAAATGGAGAGCTCAGAGAAAAGAGTAAACTTTGGGCTAGGGGAGTCACCAGTCTTTACAGAGCTGGGATTTCAACTATCGTTGAAGGATGGATAGAATCTCAACCACTGGAAAAAGGGCATACAAGATGGATGTGGCCTCCAAGAGGAGAGGGATCTTGCCTTTCTTTTTCATCTTTGTACCCTCAGGACCTGGAACAGTGCCTGGCACATAGCTGACGTCTAAAAGGGATGTATTAAATGTATTCAAGGAAATTAAAATGAAAGCTATGTTTAGAAAATGGCAAATTGTTTAATATGAATCAGGTTATGTAACTGAGTATGTAAAAGGACCGAAGGTGATCAGGGTAGGAGAGCCTTAAAGCCAGGTGAGGGTGTTTAAACTTTATTTGGTAGTCTCTGAGTTGTGATTGCAGGTTTTTAAGCAGAGGAATGACATGAGCAGAACAAACTTTTAGGAGGATTAACTTGGCAGTAGGATGTAGGATCAGCAGAAAGAGTTAAGAGTTTCAAAGTGAGGTACAACACTAGTTACGATGTGAAGACCGAGAGCCTGAAGCTATAAAGGTTGCAGTAGAAATGGAAAGACATACACTAGCTGAATAGACTCCCCAGGCTGTGGTCACTGACCGACTAAGGGGGACTAAAAAAGCAATGGAAGAGAATTGAAGACGTCATCAGTTTTTACTCTGGATGAATGGGTGTTGGTAGCAGCAATAACAGAAATAGAAACGCCTCCAGGTGAAGCCTATTAGTGAATGATGATGATTAGTTGGCTCTTAAACCACCAAGCTCTGGATGAATGGCTGTTGAAATAAGGAAAGCAACAGACACTCCAGACCAGACTATGAGGCCTGCTTTAAAAACAAACAAAAAGCAAAATAAAGCAAAAAATCTTAGTCATTTTTGTTTTGAATAGGTAATAAACTTATATGTTTCAAAATTCAAGAGTTAAAAGAGGGCATCAAGTGAAAGCTGCTCTCCTTCTCCCTGTTATTCAGCCACTTAATACTCAACTGTGGGGCAACCAATTATATCAGTTTATGAGACTTGTTTTAATTAAATTTATATTCCTTAAGTTGAAATAATTCTGTATTTGCATGAAGAGATGTAGGTCAACAAGACAGTTATTGTGTAGCCCCCTCACAGGGAGACAGGATGGACCTGAAGATTCCTGGATCCTCTGAGAAAGAACCATAGAGAAGGGATGCTGAGGAAGTCTCAGAGATACTTAATACCACACTCTTTCCTCCTTACATTAACAGTATGAGGCATTCTTCCTTTTACTGTGGTCCTATTATGTGTCAGCCGCTTTACATACACTATCATTCTAAGATCAGCCCTCTAAAGTTGGTTTCATTATCCCCACTTTATACAAGAGGGCTCAAATTAATTTTCTAATGGTCACGCCAATAATAAGTTGTAACTGGAGTCATTTGAATTGCAATTGTGGGACTCTGAAACCTGTGTTGTTTCCATTCCACTGCTTAACCAGAGAAGAAAGTTAGTTCTTGAAGTCAGATTTTGGGAAGACTGAAAGATTCTGGAAAGACAGAAAAAGCCAAAACACTTTATATTTTTAAAATATAGCATATTTTAAAGCATAGGACTTTATTTTTAAAAGCAAAAATGTGAAATATTTTTAAAATACTTTTTATATTTTTTAAAATAAGAATTTTTAAAAATAAAAATGTAAACTATAGCTTCTGCAGACATATCACCAAAATTACGCAACTCAAAATTTCAATCAAGAAAGAGTTTCATCTACAGGGTGTTTGAACACCCAATCAGACTCATCTACCCAAGGAGTTGGGAGATTGTTGGGGAAGGTCCACTCACTGGGCAGAAGTCATCAATCACAAATTATTTTTAAGATGTAACAACACATAAACTTATGTTTCTTTCAGGTGATCTCAAAGAACAATGCAAACATTATCTGCACCAGAGCCCAAGAAGTACATGTATTTACCATTTCCACTTTATAAGTGAGGAAATAGACACTATGTGAGTCAGCTGCATAGCTCAGTCCTATGCTCAGTATGCTCAGTCTACATAAACAGTGCTAATGTTGACATCTTAGGTAACAAGTGGGAGAAAAGAATGTGACGCAGTAATGCTAGAGTGTTTCACTGCTTTTTATGGCTTCCTTGACAACAGAATTAATTTCCTTCACCCAATTTAGTGAAGAATTTTTGATTATGAAAATTGCCAATGAGTATGGTAAGGGAACTCCTTCATTCCTTGGCTCCCAAATGGCACAAAACTTAGACAAATTAAAATTTTGAGAAGCAGTAGCCAAAATGGGAGGATCAATTTGCTTTAGAATATCTAAAAGGTCCTACAGTGCTGGCTTTCTATATATTTGTATTTAAGTATAAAATATATCCACCCTCTCTAACCAACCACCACTCTTTAAAATCGATTACATACATATATACACACACTTGCCCAGCACTTGCTCCACAGAATTCAAGGCCCAGGGTAAACAGACACCACACCCTGTATACCGGTCACGAGATCTGGACTGTGGTATACAAAAAGTGGGACCAATCCCTAAAGGTGTTCCAAATCTACTGTGAGATCTAGTTCATCCAAGCTTGATAGCAGGAGACAGCAAAGAAAAGCCACAGGCAGATGAAAGTCCAATTAACCTTGGCAGGGCTGAAGCTGAGGAATTTGTCTGATATCGGATACTAACAGTCTCTGGTCAATTAGGCACCTAGCATGATGTATTTTCACATTAGACATGGGCAAGGAGAGGATAATGTTGCAATCATGGATGTTAACTCACTAAGAAGTGAATGTAGGGTCTAGTTAAATCCCTACTGGAAAGAAAATACACAAGACTAGTGACTAGTCCCACCGACTAATACATACACTCACAGGTCCATGGCATATGATCGAAATGTTTTTCTGGAAATAGAAACTAATACTAGCCTTCCCTTTAAACCTGTACAGCGCACTAAAATTGTTCCAGGATGTGAGAGAGAAGCAAAATTTTTGGTCATTTAACAGTTTTCTGATTCAGTCTATTGTTAACAAAAATAATACACATTTCCTCTGGGGACAGACTTTCCTGTGAGAGTGAAAGGAGAAACTAAACGGCTAAGTTGAATTTGATATCTAAACTTAGATGACTACCCATGATAAACCACAAACCAGACAAAAACAACAACAAAAGCCTAAACCAAAACATCCCAGACTCTAGAGCAGCACTGTTCAATAAAAATATGTGATCCACACATATAATTTTAAATTTTCCAGTGGCAACATTAAAGAAAAACCACGTGAAACGAATTTTAACAATATATTTAACCCAATATATAAAAAATCTCAGCATGCTATTGACAGAAAAGTTTTAATGAAATATTATAAATTCTTTTTCTTTTTAGTACTAAGCGCTCGAAATCTGGTTTGTATTTTACACTAACGGCACACTTCGGTTCAGAGGGCCTCATTTCAAGCGCTCAATAGCCACCTGTGGCTAACAGCTACCTACCAGACAGTGCAGCCCTAAAGCCCGTTTTCAAAAAAAAAGAAAGGAAAAAACACAAAGCAAACAGAACCCACACTCACTATATAAACACACATCAATTTCAATAAAGAGGACGTTTAGAGTTGGGCTGTGATTGCTGATTTTTGGTGTACGGAGAGAGAAGGCTCAGGAGAGTAAGAGGGAGACGGCAGCGGAAAGAGATGAGGGGAAGAATGCGATTGTTGCATCTCCAGAAAACCCGGCTCTCCCCACCATGCCAGCCTCAAGCCTTGAAGGACTGCCTAGAGGTGACGAGGGGTGGAGCCGACCCCAAGTGGCCACCAACTTTTGGGTTTTAGAGCCAGCCTGCCCGGGGCTGGTGTCGGCGGGAGTGGAAGGCAGCAGAGTTCGGGCTCGGCCGGGGAACCGCGGGAGCGCCCTACCTGTCCAACAGCGGGGTGTGGATGTGCAGGTGCTTCACCGCCACCTGAACGCGCCAATCTGCGTGGCGGGCTGACGACACGGTGCCCGACGCGCCGCGGCTCAGGTAGCGCAGGTCTGCGAGCTTGTGGTAGGGAATGGTGGGCAGGGCGCTGCAGATGGCTTCCCCGTTCATGGCGGCGGGCGGCGCGGACGCTCAGGCCGCTGGCCGGGTCCAGTTGTTCCTGCGGCTCCTCGGCCGCCTATATCCGCCCCTGCGCGAGCAGGCTGACCAGGCTCTCCCTGCTGCCCGACACTAGGTCACGAGGCCGCCCATTCCCCGCACGGCCCACGCCAGCAGCTGTTTTTCCGGAGCCAGAGCGGAGTCTGCTTTCCCGGAGACTGAGGTCAACTGCGGCGGCGCGGCGGGGAGGAGCTTCCTCTCCCGGCCCAGGCCCTCCCCGGCGGGCCCCGCCACCCGAGCGCGGCCGTCGGAGCTCCTCCCTCCCCAAACTTCTCCAGCGACGTCAGCGGCGGACAGTGAAGCGGGGAGACGGGCTCCCAGCCCGCCTAGCCGGAGGCCCGAGATCGTTGTCGCGAGCCGCGGCCCTGACTATCTGTGCGACCCCAGCGGAGCCCGGACTGAGTTCTAGGGGTGGGGAAGGGAGCCGGGAGCGCTCTTCTCGTCTTCTCTCCCCACCCCGCTCCCCAGGTTTGGTAAACTTTCCTTTTTGGGAAGGTTCCTCTCAGCAGCCTACTGGCTGCTGTGCGATTGGTCAGCGGGCCTTAACACTCGGGGATCTGGACCGCGCATCTTCGGGAAATCGTCAAACCCCAGAGGGGAAGGCGGGGCCCCGAGGGGGTGAGCGCCAGGTCCCGGCTACGCGCCTGCGCAGGAGGCTCTCGGAGAGAGTGTGGTGACTTCTGTCGTCTGCACGCTTAATGAGGCCGGCGAGTCAGGTAGGGTGTAAATCACCTGTCTACCTCAACCCCAGTTGTCCCTCATTTTCAGCTACTTCAAGGAGTGAAGGGTAAATGATAAACGCTGTCGGAGTTCGACCCTGTCAACAAGTTCAGGTGTTTAGCTCCTGTTACATGCTCCTCTACTAGGGATTGACTTTTCTCTCTCCTCTTCCATCTTATGTGCATGATTATATAACCTTGAGAGACTCCGTCCCTCTGACTCCAGGTAAGACTGCAAAAATTTCTCATAGGTCTGGGAGGAATACAATCAGTGTTTAATGCCAACCAAAAAAAGACTGCAAACATATTTCCAGCTTTTTACTGTAAACATCTTTCTACTTAGATGACTATTTTGTAGAGTGTGACTGAAAATATTATATACAATACCAAGTCCATACTAGGCATTTAATGAATTCTAAGGCAACAGTAATAAGGAATGCCTGACTTGAGTGGAGATTTTCTGCTTACAGAGAATGAATGCTTCCTGTATTTTTATATTGCCTGAAATGAGAGTAGCAATGTTACATTTTGTAATATGTAACGGGAACTTGTAATGAAATAGTGTTTTTAAAAATTTTGATCGTTTTAAATAAAATGGCTATAGTTTTTAAGATATGGTTGGATACTTTGTATCCCATTTCCCCTTAATTCCTTTAGGCACTCAGTTAACAAACTAAGAGTTCCAGAAAAAGAGAACAAAAAGTAAGCAGGGAGGGAATGACGCAAATAGTAATTCAAGAAATTTTGCCAGGACAGAAGTACAGGGGTCTCCATATTGAAAAGGCCCAACAGGTACACACAGTGGATGAAAAAAGACCTATATTAAAGCACATTATTAAAAAAGTCAGAACACTAAGAATAGAGAGAAGATTCTAAAAGTTTTCAGAGGGAAGAAAGGAGAATAAAGGGGTGAGAATTAGAATGACATAGGATTTCTCAATAATAACACTTTTATGCTAAAACACTTAAGTGAAATTTCTTTAAAGTCTTGAAGGACAAGAACTTCCAAACTAGAATTCTATAGTTGATCAAACTACCCATCAAGTATAAGAGCAGAATAAAAACATTTTCCTGTATATAAGGATGTAAACATTTACTTTCCATCCATCCACTTTTTTTTTTTTAATTTAAGAAAGCTACTAGAGGATGTGCTCCAACAAAATATAGGAGTAAGTCGAGAAAGAGAGAGACATGAGATCCAGCAAACAGGACCAGGAAAATGGGAAGGGAAACCCCAGGATGAAAGATACGTGGCAGAATTAGAGAACAACTTATTTTCGTTGGAGCAGGAAGATGGCAGACTCCAAGAAGAGAGACTCTAATTAAAATAATTGAATTTGTAAATTGTCTAATTTTGAGTATTTGGGAAATTATATTGATAGGTGTTTGATATATATAAGGAAATATGTGGAGAGAGAACTTAAAAAATCTAAGCAAGTGAAAAGAAGCAATTATTATTAATTCCTTGAAAAATAAAAATTATGCAAGAATGGGAACAGCATTTCTCCAAATGATTCTGTGGTGGTGAAAATTTAAGACTTTTCAGAGCTTTTAAAATACTGGTATATTGTAAATCTCTAAGAAGGAGAGAGCAGGCAGCATAGAACTCTATAAAATGTATTTATATTTTGGGGCTGGCCCCGTGGCCGAGCGGTTAAGTTCGCGCGCTCCACTGCGGGCGGCCCAGTGTTTCGTTGGTTCGAATCCTGGGCGCGGACATGACACTGCTCATCAAGCCACGCTGGGGCGGCGTCCCACATGCCACAACTGGATGGACACACAGCGAAGAATATACAACTATGTACCGGGGGGCTTTGGGGAGAAAAAGGAAAAAATAAAATCTTAAAAAAAAAAAATGTATTTATATTTTTAATTACATTACTTTTAAATTTACTTTTTAAAAAATAAGTAATATATTCACATTTCAAAATTTAAAAGTGTGGAAGACAGACAATACAATAGAAAATTGGGGAGAAGACCTGGACACCTCACAAAAGATATCTAAGTAGCAAATGAAGGTGAAAATGTGTTCAGCATCATTAGTCATCAGGGTTAAAGCTATCAAGTTAAAACCACAATGTAAGATCACTACACAAATGCAAGAATAATTAAAATTGAAAAGACAGATCCCAAGTATGGGTGAGGATTTGTAGCAGTTGGAGCTGTTGTACAGTGCTGATGGGAGTGTCAAGTGGTACAATCTTTTTGTAAACTGTATGGCAGTAAGCTATTAAAATTGCCCATTGTGCAGATCTTATGACTCAGCAGTTTCTCACCTAGGTATGTGGACATGTGTATGCATATGCTAGAATGTTCATAGCTGTGCTGTTTATAGTAGCTTCAAACTGGAAATTACCCAAATACGCATAAAGAGTAGAAAGGGTAAATAAATTGTGGCACATTTACACAATGGAATACTGAACATCAATGAGATTGAAGAGTGTATGACAATATTGATGACTCACACAAATACAATGTTGGATGACAAAAGGCAGACACTGAAGAGTATATATTGTATGAGTCTGTTTCTATTAAGTATAAAAGTAAAGAAAACTGACCTATGCTTTTAGAAACCATGATAGTGGCTACTCTTTTTCCACTTTTTTTTTTTGAGGAAGATTAGCCCTGAGCTAACTGCTGCCAATCCTCTTTTTGCTGAGGAAGCCTGGCCCTGAGCTAACAGCCATGCCCATCTTCCTCTACTTTATATGTGGGACACCTGCCGCAGCATGGCTTGTCAAGCGGTGCCATGTCCACACCTGGGTTCCAAACCGGCGAGCCCCTGGCTGCCAAAGCGGAAGGTGCGCACTTAACCACTGCGCCACCAGGCTGGGCCCATAGTGGCTACTCTTGTAAGGTGGAAGTAGTGACTAAAAGGGACATGATGAGACTTCTGGGGTGATAGTAATGTTAGGTTTCTTGATCTAGGACCTAGACCCTAGGTGCCAGGTACACAAGTATGTTTAGTTTCTGAAAATTCTTTGAAGTTAATGTGCACTTTCTGTATATATTATACTTCAATAAAAATATATTAGGTTTATATATTAAATAAATATATGTGTATATATATTATGTTTCTCATGTAGTTAGTATCACACTATATACCTGTTCACCTTGCTTGTTTTTCGTTTAACAATGTATGTTGAATATCTTTCCATATGAAACTTCCTCATGCTTTTTTTATAATGGCTGAGGGGTATACCATAATTTATCCCTCATTGATGGACACTTAGATTGTTTCCACATATTTGCTATTATAAATAATGCTGCAATAAATAATCTTTACATTTGTCATTTCATACATATGCAAGTATATATACATAAGTAATTCCTAGAAAGTGAATTGCTGAAGCAAAGAGTTATGTTGATTTGTAATTTTGGTTTATATTGTCAAATTGCTCTTCACTGAGATTGTACCAATTTTTTTCTGCAGACAATAAGAATACCTGTGCCTCCTCATGCTTACTTTCTTTTCCTTTTGAGATAGGTAGTGCAATGTTGGTCTACTGATTCCTGGAGTTCAGTGCTTCTAAACTCAATTAAATGATAAGATTCTTTTTATTGCAAACCTTTTAAATATTTGGCTTCAATTTATTTATCACAACCCCATGTAACCATGTGTAAACTATACATATATATGTATAGTTTAATTAATTCCCGTAACGAATTGGCTAAAGACAGAAAGCTTAAAGAATACTGGTGTTGAACTACATCAGCTAAATGATAAACAAAAAATGAGAGTAATTACACCAATTAGGCCAAGACACAAGCATCATATCTGTATGTCGAATTCATCTGTTGAAAATTTTCTAAAATCACGTTAAGATTTGGTCTTTCCATTTACTGAAAATAAAGGTTATTTATACCTGCATGTGCTATTTTAGGAAACAGCAGCTTGAAATCTCTCATATCTCTTCAATTAGAAACAAAACAGAAAAATTGAAAAAGAAACCACTTAAAAGTTACAAATCTAAGAATTTCAAACATCTCATATTTTAATTTTTCAGTGTAAAAGCACATAATGTGTTTTAAAAACACAGATGTTGCAAAAGTCTATAATTACATAACAATGAATGATCTGCATGGGAAAACATTTGGGGTACATTTGGTGCTGTTTCTCCCCCCAAAATCTCAAAAAATACCTGATATATCTGATGACGTACAGTCTACTATGAGGAGGCAGAGAAGTACACATTTTTACAGTTAATGAGAATAATAATGTTTCTCGTTTAACCATTCTAATTGTGTTCAACCCTAAAAGAACATGAAGTCATTTTAAAATTGATAAAATGATGCTTTTTCTGATAATTCAGCTAGGTTAAACATTAAAAAGTAAACATTTCTCATAGTAGAATTATTAGTAAAGAACATTAAAATCAACTTTTAATACAGTATTTTATAACACTTTTCTCAAACATTTTTCAATCTAAAGTTCCATCTTTACTATGTA